AATGGCTTTGATTTTATACATATATATATATTTTCCCCCCTCCCCATAATCATCAGGAATAAATGAAAGAAGAAAAGGATTTTAAGGCTATTTTTCATGGTCCTAAAAATAATGACCATTGCAAATAATCAAACAGCCCCAAGAAGCAGTGCAGCATTTGCCACTGACACAGTCAATTCCTGCTTCACTAGGAGGAGGGGTCCTGGGGCTCCATTTCGGGGAAGAGCAGTTTTTTTTCCCAAGGTTTCCCTGAATGACAGGCTGGTTTTCCTCCAAAGCCAGTCTCAGAAATCTTCACACAGGGCCCCATCTGTCCGGGTGTGGAACCTCCAGGGAGGAGAGTTTCCTTCTGATCTTGGAAGTGAACTCTTCGCTCTGTTGTTGCTTCCGAGCAAAGAATAAAGAAGGCGTTTTATACTAACAGCATCTGACCGGGCAGAAAACTGGGTCCGTTTTCACTCGTTAAACACCTTTTAAATTAAATTCTCTCTGGGTTTTCCATCTCAAATTCTGCCAGCAAATTCGTGGGCACCAAACAGAAACATAACCCGTATCTCAAACACAACACCCCAAAGCAGTGGAAAAGGAATCTCTTGAAGAAGGCTCTGAAGTTTCATGTTTTCTCCAAGATTAATAGTAATTGGGTTGTTCACACCGCCCCACCTTTGCACTTGCTGTTCCCTCTGCTGCGAAGCTCCCCCTCTTCTCCACTCAGCAAGCTCCAATCATCCCTAAGGACCCGATTAAAATCCTTCTCCCCTCTGAAGCTGTCTTGAGTTAACCCAGCTGTGTTCTCTCCACTGGGCATCCAATATTTATTTGCAAATGAGACTTGATACACACGAGGTGGTGGTGTTGTTAGCTGCTATTCAGTCGGCACAGTGAAATAAAATGCTGCCTGGTCATGCGCCACCCCCATGACTGGTTGCAAGTTGAACCACTGTGATCCATAGGGTCTCCACTGGCTGATTTTTGGCAGCAGATTGCCAGTCCTCTCTTCTTTGTCTGTCTTAGTCTGGAAGCTCTGCTGAAACCTCTCCAGCATCAGAGCAACATGCAAACCTCCATTGACGGGTGGTGGTTGTGCATGAGGAACACTGGCTGAGAACTGAGCTCGGGTCTCCAGGATGGAAGGCAAGAAGTCTACGACGCGTAGTCCCCGACTTACAATGTATTCAAGTAACCACGAACCACACCTACCACCGTCTTTTTTTTTTTTTTTTTTTACATCTTATTGTTAGAAATACGTGCTACAATGTTAAAATGCATCTGTAAATCTATATGTAATTTTTCCAACCTCCAAAGACAAATAAAGATTGGATTTATAAAGATACTGTTCATAAATGGCAATAATAATGAAAACTAACAAAAAAAGAGGTATTCGACTTGAGTCAGAACCAACTTTGGACGGAGTTGTTGAAATGGAACCCTGCCATAAGTTGGGGACTACCTGTATTGAACCACCAATGCCCCCTCTTACACACAGTAGATATATGGGAGTGATTATAAAAAATAGCCACAAGTTCCTTGCAAAACTGAAATCTTTCTCTCTTCCCCTTGACTCTGGACTTAGCCATGTGGATTGCTTTGGCCCATGAGACATCAGCAAATGTGACAAGAGGAAGCTTGAGAAGTGATTGTGCTCTGAGTCTTTCACTTCTCTTGCTCCTGGGGACTCGTCCATCACGTGAACAAAATGATGAGAGATACATGACCAGTGCCCCAGGCGACATCAACTCAGCCACCGAACATGGGACTGAAGCCATCCGAGGCCATCCGTGAATGAGCCTGGGGAAAACCAGCAGACGAACTAGCCCGCTGAGCCCAGCCCACAATCATGAGCTACTAAGTTATGGGGTGGTTTGCTACATAGAAAACAGGTAACAAACACAATACCTGATAAATGAACACAGAATGGATGAATCAAATAATTGATCAATGATCAATGAACAAAATAACATGGACCAGTGGGTTTTTCGGGGGGAATATATATATATACAGATACATATACATATATATATACATATATATACATATATATACGCATATATATATATATATGTGGAGCCCTGGTTGTGCAACAGTTAAGAACTTGGCTGCTAATCAAAAGGCTGGCAGTCTGAATCCACCAGTTGCTCCTTGGAAACCCTATGGGGCGGTTCTATTCTATCCTATAGGGTCGCTATGAGTCAGAATTGACTCGACGGCAACAGGTTTGATTTGGTTTTATATATATAGTTGTTGTTAGGTGCTGTCGAGTCGGTTCCGACTGACATTAACCCTATTTACAACAGAACAAAACATGCCCAGTCCTGCGCCATCCTCACAGCCGTCGTTATGATGCTTGAGCGCCTTATTGCAGCCACTGTGTCAGTCCATCTTGTTGACGGTCTTCCTCGTTTTCACTGACCCGCTACCAAGCATGATGTCCTTCTCCAAGGACTGATCCCTCCTGATAACATGTCCAAACTACATGAGATATAGGCTTGCCATCCTTGCTTCCTGGCTTCTAAGGAGCATATTCTGGTTGCACTTCTTCCAAGACAGATTTATTATATACATATATAAAATAAATATACATATAAAATGTCTCAGGGCACCCTGGTGGCGTGCTGGTTCAGAGCTCAGCTGCTAACCAAAAGGTTGCCGGTTGGAACCCACCCAGCTGCTCCTCAGGAGAAAGTCCTGGCAATCTGCTCCTGTAAAGATCACAGCCTAGAAAGCCCTGTGGGGCAGTTCTGCTCTGTCACATGGGGTTGCTGTGAGTTGGGCTCGGCTCCCAGCACCCAACACCATGTATGTCTCGCTGGTTCTGTTCCCCTAGGGAACCCTGAGACAGGCGTCAGCTGCTGCTGCTCCGTTGCCGTCCACGCCGCCTCTGTGAGCCGCAGCCCACCCCCTCGAGACCTCCGCACTCCACACCCGCCCCGCAGCCTGCTGAGCGCCCACACCTCTGCCAGGCGACGCTGGGGCACAGGAGCTCAGGCTTCAGCCCATGGGCCCCAAGCGCAGGCGCAGCTCCACCACCTGCAGGCCGTGCAGCCTCCGTGTGGGCCTCCGTCTGTGACGTGGGCCGGGAGGCGTGCCCGGGGCCTGTCCTGAGGGTGGAAGGGGACAGGAGTGCGGAGCTCACAGCCCAGGCCTGGTCGTGTCAGGCTCAGGAGCAGACGCTGCTGCCTGCTAACTGGTTCCACCCTCTTGTCGTCAGCTGGGTGAGTCCTCTTAGCCCAGATTCCGGGGACCACCGGCACTTTCTGGGGAGGCCCCAGGGACTCTGTATCCCTCAGAACCTTGCTCTGGTCGCTGGCTCCTCTCTGATCCCCAAGCCGAATTTCCTGAATGCCACTCACTTCTAGACCTTCTGGTGGGTCACGCTCCTCTGCCAACTCAGCCCTCGGCTCCACGTCCTCTGTTCACCTGTGGCTGTTGTCAGCGGCTAGAGAGTTGGCCCCGACTCACGGGGACGCCATGCACAGCCAGAAACACTGCCAGGTCCCAGACCATCCCCATGATCCGTTGCGGACTGGGCTGCTGTGAGCCACAGGATGTTCACTGGCTGGTTTTCAGAAGTAGATCTGCAGACCTTTCTTCCTAGTCTGTCTGAGTCTGAAGGCTCCACTGAAGCCTGTTGAGCATCAGAGCCACAAGCAGGCCCCCACTGAGGCGGGTGGTGGCTGCACTTGAGGTGCACTGCCAGGAATCACACCAAGGTCTCCCTTGTGGAAGACGAGAATTCTACCACTGAGCCATGCTTAGATAAAACGCCTATCCTCCCTTCCTCCCTCCCTCCCTCCCTTCCTCCCTCC